ACTTTAACGGGCGAAAAGGACGGCCCCGTCATTCGGGGAGAATGAGAATGAGAGTCTAAATATTCTCTCAGCCACCTTGCCCAAAAGATTTCGGCCAGACGCAACGCCTTCTTATAATCTTGGCGAGATAGTTCCGCATCCGAGGCGGGATGAGGAGCTTCAGTAGCTGGCGTTCCCAATAAAAAATAGAATGGCGTCAGTGCCTGCAGCGTGTGTGGGTCGACGGCAACATGGGTCATCGGGCGCGAATTTACTATGGCCTCCGCTTCGAGCAGCAGAGTTGTTAACACTACCTGCTTTGGTGTCTTTTCACGAAGGGTCGTGGAGAGCGCAGCCTTGACGGATCGTATCGTCGTATCGTCCCACGATCCACTCATTGATGGCGACAATGGCGGGATAAAAGTCCACTCTACTTTTTGACCGGCTGCGAAATCGAAGATGTAATCGAGTTGATTGGCTGCACCAGCAAATTTTATCGGAAACTATCCTGATTGGGCAACCGCGTCGAGCAATGAACCTGCGCAACAGCGTAATGGCGGAGTCTGCCGAAAAGCTTTCCACGATGTCGAGGTGTATGGCCCTGGTGGTGAGGCAAGTAAAAAGGGCGACTCGGTGCTTCTCCCGTCTGCGCCACACGGCAACCTCCACTGGACCAAAATAATCTAAACTAGTGAAACTAAAAGGGCGTTGGTGGTGAGCCAACCGATCAGCCGGAAGATCACTAAACTGAGGCACAGACGGTAGGAGCTTTCTAACCCTGCAAAAACAGCAGCATTTGGCGACAGACCGAACACTAGGCCGCAAGGCCACGATATAAAATTTGCTACGCTCCTGCGTAGCAATTAAATAACCACAGTTTCTGTATTCCCATGGCCAAACTTTCGGTGATAATGGTCGATAAACAATTTTGTAATGGGATGTCGACCATCCAGGACAACCAGGTTAACATCCTGCTGGGGATCTTCTGAGACTGCATGAATTCTACCGTCCAAACGGATTAGCTGGTCTTCTCCCAAAAATATGTCTATTTGTTTTAGTTTGCCCTGATTGTTTTGGGAAAGACCTGCATGCAATCTTAGAAGCTCGTCGTTAAATGAGTCCAGTTGGGATTTCAAGAAAAGATGCCTCTCGGTCTCTCGAATTTCTGAAGCTAAAGGGGTTTCAGACCCTCAGAAGCTCGGGAGGAATGTTTAAATTTAGAATTTGGAACTTTAACGGCCGAAAAAGATTTAAAACGTTGAGCGCACCAGTGCGCACGAGCAGTGGCTCTGACTAAACGACTCCATTTGCTGAAGTGATTGTGATCAGCCACTACAGGAGATAGAGGTTCTGGTCGCTCAGTCAGCAAACATGTCAACGCGTGCTCGGGCTTTAGTTCCTCGAGCACAGGTGGCACAAAAGCTGTAGGCTCACGAGGCCATTCGTCCTGAGACCCGATTCGCCCCGAGTGGCGTCATCCGCCACGTTTAGGGCCGAAGCGACGTAACGCCAATCGGCAACACTTGGCAATTCTAATATTTCGCCGACCCGGTGAGCTACAAAGGGCTTAAAAGTTCGAGCATCGGTTCTGCAACCATTTTAAAACTGTTAATGAATCCGTCCAAGAGAACGATTTAGAAGCGACTAAACGGTGGGCTTCTAAGATGTAAGTTGCGAAGCGAGTCGCCATGAGAGCCGCCTGGAGCTCTAAGCGCGGGAAAGAGGCCGGTTTTAATGGCGCCAGTCGTACCTTTTCACCTATGAAGGCCGTATGAACAAACTTATCTTCATAAGTCAAGCGCCAGAAGGCTACACAAGCGCTAGCATCAGTTAGGACATAGAGCTGACTTTTTTGAGGCGAATACGTTTTATAAGGGTGCGGAATGGTGATTTTCTCCGAAACATCGGTCAAAGTCGCAAACCAAGCTTGCCACTTCTCTTTCGTTGAGGAAGGCAGCTTCTCGTCCCAACTTAAATTCACACTCCAAGTATCCTGAAAGAGAATACGCCCGGCAATTATCACGGGCAACAAAAAGCCAAGAGGGTCGTTTATTCGCATGATGTGAGATAGTACAACTCTTTTGGTGAGTTTCGCAGGAAGCGGAATGGTTTTCCTAAAACTTAGAGTATCATCACACACCCAAGACCCGCACCTGAGGAAATGAAACGGACGAGGATCCGAGATCCACTACTGAAGTCTCGACAACCCGTAAATCTGGCTTCAGTAAAGAGAGAGCCTTAGGATCATTGGAAACCCAAGAGCGCATTTCTAAACAAGTCTCGCTATAAATAGAGACTATATCAACGGCTAGACGAGTCGCCTGTTCAGGGGAATCTACGCTATCGAGATAATCATCCCTGTAGTGGTCTCTTATGACGGCTTCGGCGGCTTCAGGATACTTATCTTTGTGCCCTAAAGCATTTTTGTTTTTTAAGAAAATGGTCGTGCAATCATTGACGACATTCTGTACTCTTCTATCGGCACAGATGGATTGACTCGCCAGAGAAAACGCTACGCGTCCTTGTCTTGAACCCTAATTTTTGTTTGTGGGAACATCTCTCGAATATCCCCATTAAGAGCTACCTTGCCTTCCCGGAAACGCATAAGTATGGCCAGCAAGGTTTGTAGTAGGTCAGGACCAGGCAACAGGAGATTATTTAGACTAACTCTCAAACATTCGGCTGCGGCATCCTGAACTAATCTCAACTTTTGTTTTTGTGGGTGGTATATACCAAAGAGTGGCAGATACCACAAATTTCCTTACGGGAGGCAAGTTGGTACATACGCTGTTTAGCCCTTTTCACCATGCCGTCGATATACTGGCGGTAAGCTTCTGCGTAAACTGGATCCTTTTTAAACTTCCTCTCTAGACTTAGGAATCTGGATAAAGCCAAGCTGTAACTTTCGGGAGTGAAGGAAATGTCATCTCGCCAGAGCAAGCCTGTCTCGAACATTCCTGAAGGAAGACGCCGAGTGGTTTCCTCCAATATTTTGAGAGCTCGCTTCTCATTCTGTAAATGGAGGTCCTTTTTGGTAATACCAATGGAATCAAGCGCCAATGATCCTTAATGAGGGATTTCAACTTAGAGACAAAGCTGTGATAAGTTAACTCTATGGGCTTACCTGGGAGTTTACCGAATACAGTCCAACCTAGAGCAGTTTGAATAGCAGCAGGCTGATTTCGAGTACCACCTCTAATACCACGTGCTAGAGATAAATGTCAATTGTCTATGCCTCCGTGGCCGAACGGTTACCATACCGAACTGCCACGCAGAGGTCCCCGGGTTCGATTCCCGGGCCGGGAGAAATATTTGTACGGCCTACATTTATTTCTCTCGTGAGTTTGGGTGTAATTTGTGGTTGTCTATGTGTGTGTCCATGGCACCCGCGACACAGTGTTTCCCTAGTGCGGGGCTATGTTGAATGTGTGCGTTATTATTATTATGTGCCTATTATCAACAATGGCTTGGCTTCGTCATAGCATAACTCTGTGGCAAGTTCCTGTAGGTGTGGGAGCTTCGCCACGACTTGACTAGCTATCCCCAGTCCAGGTACAGAGCGGACGTCATTTAATGTAAAATTTTCATCAGAAAACTTGCCTTTGATGCCAATGCTGACATAATTTACTTTAGAGTCTTTTACGAGCCCACCAACACAATTCATTCGGATTCTACTTTTCGGACCTTGAGCCCCTACGGACTCTGCTACTGCCCGGTCAATTAAGGTGACAGTAGAACCGTCGTCTAATAAGGCGTAAATATCCATCATACCTTTAGGTCCGGACACTGTCACCGGAAGTACCTTCGACAACGGCCGAAACAATGAAGGTGGCGACGTAAACTCTGCAGTGCCACTTTGAGTGTGGGCCACTGTCATGGGCGCAGATTGATCGAGCTCCGGAGCATTGTAGTTAGCGGGAGTAATTGGGTCTCTATGGAGAAGCATGTGATGGAAATATTTGCTCTTGCAATGTGTACTACTACTATTGCTTCTGCAAGTTTTATAGAAATGACCAGATCTTTTAAGACACCTACGACAAACCCTATTTTCCGTAGCCCACCGCCATCTGTCCGCAACCGAAAGAAGCTTGTACTTATCACATTCGGCAACATTATGTGCAGCTTTCTGACAATGTAAACATGTTGGGTCAGGTAGCGCTGGCTTAAACGGAACAGAAGAATTTACGATAGGAGTCAACAGAAAGACTTTGCGCAACAGGTGTCACCACTTTAGTTTTTACCGGCTTTTTTTGGTGGCATTAAAGGAGGTGGCATAGCATACGTCATCGCTGACATTAGTGGCATCCATGACGGTGTGCGTGCGAGTCTTGTCTACGATAGACAAGGTACGTGTGTTTTGACGCGAACCGTCATCGATAGTGCCAAATTTGAAATGGACCCGTGATTAATGCGTGAGAAAACGCGATAGCAATTCTAATTTAAACGAGTTTCGCTCGAAATTTGCATAAGCATAATCTACCCATTTTTCGTGCAACAATGGGGTCAATTTAAAAAGCACGTTGTGCAGCAGCTCTAGAGAGGCCAGAAACTCCATTGAATCTGTTATCTTAATAATAATAATCATCATTTATTTCGGACTGTAAATCCATAGTGTTAATAACAAAATAACTAAAAAAATTAGTGTTAGTAAGAACTGGGAAAGTATATTTTAATATTTATTTATTAATGAGATTCCCCTGTAGAAAGGCTCGAGGCGCAGCTACCGGCTTGGTGCCGTGTGCAGCTGCACCCAGCGCCCCACCATCGGAGAGTCCCATCTAGCGACAAGGATGCTAAGGATGCCATTCGTGCTGCCTCGTAGCCGAGTCAGGAGTGAGGCACAACGCTTTCGTATGATTGAATAAAATCAATCGGTACGAGCCTCAGCAAACATAGTGGAGGCATTATAGTAACGCGGCAACTTAAATAGCACCCTAAAAGCATAATTATACTGGAGCGCAGTGCGCCGTATGCACGCTGCGTAATGTTGACCCACAGGCTACACGTGTAGAAGGACCGGCAATATGCTTTGAAAAGCAAAACCTTAACCTGGTCGCTACTACGTGCAAACCTCCGTGTCAACATATTACACCGCACAGACAGCGTCCTGCGCTCCCGTTCTATGTCTAAATTATCATTTAGATCATCAGTGACCCAATGCCCCGGATATTTAAACCGTTCCACTTTTTGTAAGGGAGTATCAGCACGTTTAACCGGAGGCACAACAGAATACGATTTAGTGCCTGCCTTGAAAATCATAAGCACGCTCTTTTTTGCGTTGTTCCTAAGTCCATGGGTCTCTGCATATAACTCACATATACTCAACAATCTACGGAGGGCACTAATCGAAGGGCTCAGCAGCACCATATCATCAGCATAGCTGATATTATTTATACAGACTCCATCGATATGGCAACCGATACCAGTGCCACTGAACCCTCCGATGAGACGGTTCATATACATATTGAAAAGGCGCGGTGAACTCAACCCTCCCTGTCTCACCCCACATTCCAACCTGTATACTTCCGAGTACAACCTGCGTACCTGCCCACTTGACAATATTCTTCTGATTGCTGTACCAATATCCCAGCATAGACACAACTTCTTTGGACACTTTGGTATCACAATGCAGTTTTCGCCACAAGGTATTATATGACACTAAATCGAATGCCTTAGAAAGGCCCAAAAAGCATGCGTATACTGGCGTCATTCTGGCCGTATAGTACTGGGCAGTCTGTTTGAGGCATAGGACAGCGCTTTCAGTGGATAGACCAGTTCTGAAACCGAACTGGGCATCATGCAGGTTTATATGTTTATCGAAATGCTTATCAATCAGACTGTCCAGCACTTTGGATATTATTGGGGCCAGGGATATGGGCCTGTAATTACATAAATCTGATGCATCACCTGTTTTGTTCTTAATGACAGGAACAACAATTGTGTACATTAGTTTATCAGGCAAGTAATAGTGACTAATGCAAAAGTTAAAAAACAATGCCAGAACTCTTGACAGATGCACTTTATTATAAGTATACCCGCATATTTTAAGTGTTCAATACTAACACTGTCATGACCAGGAGACTTCCCTCTGACCATTGATTTAATAACACTCGCAACTTGTTTGGCGGTAATTCTAAAAGTAATGTCTCCCATTGGTCTCCCTGTCTCAGCATCACTCACCTGCGTCGCCGTCTCAAGGGGTGACTGTACCTTGAACTGGCGCCGAAACGCATTGGCTATGTCACCCGGCTCATGTGCACTACCTACGTTTACTGGAAGGCTTGGCTTTGGATTTAATTTATTGGTCGTTTTCCAAAACTTACCAAAATGCTTATTTGAGTGATGAGTGATGTTGGACAATAATGTCTATTTTTATCTGTTCAGCACTAATTTGACAATATTTTAATTTAGATTTAAACAGCTTTCGAGATTTAAAACGGTTATTTGACCATTTGTCACTTAGCTGCGTTTTAGTTAGTGGACGGCAGAATACGTGTTTTTAATTTTTATTTACTCGTAACTTACTACATAAGAATATTAAGAATATCAAAAAAAGTTTCAGTATGCCTGTCGCAGTACGTCCTCTACCCGCAGATCTAGCGGATAAAGCCAAAGAGGAATTATTCGAAGACCCAAAAAAGCTTGAAGACAGCATACAGCATTTAAAAGAATGGATCGCAAAACAACCGCATTTGAAAGCTAGAACAGGTAACGAAATGGCTCGTTGTAGAATTTGTAGAACTTACATTTCCTTTGTTTCATGTGTGGTATCAATCAGAGGGAGAAAGTAGTTTTTTATAGGACTGTTAACTTACACACCCTTGGCATCTTGTGTAGTGTCAATTATGGTTTGAAAGCTGATACTCAACAGTGCAACATTGCGGCCATAATATTTGCAAGCTAAATATTTTCATCTGTGTGTTTATTTCTGCCTGTCTTGTCTAGTATCGCTGTCGCTTAATACTGTATCGATGATATTTTTCTGTTGTTTATTTCAAGAGGACCAATGGCTGGCTGCGTTTCTGAGAGGAACCAAATTCAGCTTAGAACGAGCGAAGGAGAAACTCGATCTTTACTATTCGTTAAGAACACTTATACCTGAATTTCAGTCGATCAACCATAGACATTCTAAGTTCATGGAAATTCTTAAGCTAGGGTATGTATATAATCATAATTATTATAGTAAATATTTCTAGGTTATTACGGGATAGGTACCAGTATTTTGAAGCTACTTGTGACTTTTTGGGCGACGATGACCACCTCTCGTGAAGTAGTTTGGTTTACATTAAAAAAAAACTTTTCTCATGAAACCTATACATACATACATATATATATACTCTTTTGCAAAAAAAACGGGCACCTAAGGATTTTTACGTTCTAAAGTCGATTTGAGTTAATTAAATGAAATTTATTTCTTTGATTTAGGCTGTATACTTATAATCGTGTAAATTAATGCGCGTGAAGTGAATTCAGGCAATTAAAAGAAAAAAAAACGATGGATTCTTTAAAACCGATGTACACGCCCAAACAATAAGAAGTGGTCGGCAATAAAGACAAGATTTTTTTACTTTTTTTAATTAAATAAAATTACAAATGTAAAAACTTAATAACGAGTGTGACCTCCTCTTGCCAAAATCACAGCTTGAATCCTTCTGGGCATGCTTTCCACGATGTTTTTAATAACGTTTTGAGGAATACGTTCCCACTCTTCTGCAATGACTCTTTTTAGCTCCCTGATGTTTTGTGGAGCAGGTTGCACTGATCTTACCCGTCTCTTTAGAACATCCCAGACATGCTAAATGGGAATTAGGTCAGGACTTCGAGCTGGCCAATCTAAACGACGGATCCCAACTTCTTGCATGTACGCTTCCACGTCGCCAGAACGGTGCGGGCGAGCATTGTCGTCCATAAAAATGGAATCTTCCCCAAGTGCAGTCAATGTGGGTTGTGCATATGGAATTAGGACTTCCATTATGTACCGGTGTGCATTTAATGTTCCATTTTCTATGAAAACTAACTCCGTACGCTCCGTCGAATTAATTGCTGCCCAAAACATAACGGAGCCTCCGCCATAAGGAGTGATTTCTTCGAAACACACTTCCGCATAGCGTTCCCGTGGTCTTCGCAGCACTCGCCGGCGTCGGTCCTCTCCACACAAAGAGATTCTAGCTTCATCAGAAAACAATACTTTATTCCAGTCCTCCAGAGCCCATGAAGCACAGTTCCGAGCAAACTGAAGTGGAGCAACACGGTGCTTACGGAGTAATTTAGGGCCCCGAGCTGGGCGGTAACTCCTGATATTGGCAGCCAAAAGCCTCCTCCTGACCGTCCACAAGCTAACTTCTACTCCTCTTACTTCTTCAAGGCTCTTCTTCAGGTCCACACTTGACGCCTTAGGATTCCGCAACGCCTGACTCACCAAAAAGCGGTCATCTCTTGGTTCTGTGCATCGTTTTCTTCCCGCATCGGGTCTTCTTTTGACCGAACCGGTCTCTTGATACCGTTGCCAAATCCTCTGGACAGTTGAACGACTCACATTTAGCCGCTGAGACACGTAAGTTTGCGAACAACCTTCTTCAAGTAGGGCTATAATTTTACCGGCCCTTATCACTTTATCACTCATATCAAAAAGTGGTATTTAATGTAAAAAGAAAGATTAAATTGTTTAATTTGCAGAAAATATCCAAAAAGTTTTAAAATATCGTAATCAGTTAAAAATCGTTTCAGCAATTCGCGCCATTAGTAAAGCAATTTTAGAATAATCCACAATAATCATTATTTTTCTTTTATTAATTTCAAATTTTAAATTTGGAACGTAAAGAATCATGCCAGGATGCTTCAAATAACATGCCAATATATCGTCAAATTAATAAAACCTATTTCTTGTTCTTCTTCATTGAAGTAGAGAAAAAAATCTAACGTGCCCGTTTTTTTTATATATATATGTATACATAGTTATAGATTAGACAACAGAAGATTTCAGTTACAGTAGAACTCCTTGTGAAAGAGTTCGTCCAGGGAAATATTGCCACCATACCTCTTTCAGTCGCCAAGTAGTAATGTGAGCATTATTGCGTTTCGGTCTTGAAGGATAAGGGTGTTGGTGAAACTGAATACTCATTGGAACACTACTGGGTTTCATAATATGATAACAATTTTTAAATTATATGGTCGCAAATTTAAACAACGTTGCGACGATTGAGGACTATTGATGATTGATATTATAAGTTATAAGATATAAGAAATGAAACTATTTTTCTGGATTTAAATCGCGTATATTTGTTTACTGGTTGACTCAACCGTGACCATGGGACCTGTAAATGGCCCGAAACGTTGGTTTGTTTAAAAAAACAAATATACGCGATGTGAATCCGGAAAAATAGTTTCATTTCCTATGTGTAACAATCGCGAAAACCTAAGAACTTTATAAGATTTAAATTTACCCATGATACCAAACTACTTTTTTATGAAACCCACATCTAATTTTACAATAGTAAAATTTTCAACTTTGTATACGAATACTGCGATCAGCTGATTTTGTTTTGTATGGCAACGGGAAAATCTTGATTTAGTTTTTTTTACATTATTTTTCGCGTTTCTTTTATTTTGCGTTTCTGTTTTAGCACATTGTTAATATTGCCAAAATCAAAGAATTTGACGGATCCTAGGGTACTGATATTCAGGGTTGCGGCCTGTCCTCCTGGTCAGTTCACCATGCCTGAAAACATGAGTGTTATAAGAACTTTGCAAAAGGTCAGTGCTTAAGTACCTTATAAAAATGTTTGTGATATTTTAATTTATTACGAGAAACTGCATTGCCCCTTACCAAGATTTTATAGAATTGTGGATGTATAATTTGCAGATAATGTACATGGACGACGATATTTTTACAGTGAATGGTGTTGTAAACGTGGTGGATATGAAAGATGCAACTTTGTCCCATTTTACTCATCTAACGCCGTTGATGATGAAGAAAATGGTAGTTGCAAATCAGGTAAGCGTATTAACAACTGGATTATCAAATATATTGGTATACCAGCATACGCGTGACTATGGTAAACCTTTTTTTTTATGAAATGCAGTGAGTCTGGCAACACACTTATCCAGAGTTTTAAATCGCAAAGATCTGGGGGGCACTGCCGCTGCACCCATCAACTTAGACATAAGTTGACAAATCCAATGTGCCTTCAATTTCACCAGCACCTTCAAAACCGGAACGCAGCAAGCTCACCTTACTGCTTGGCGGAAAAAATAGGTATGGTGAGAGACTTCCCTGGACGAATTCTTTCTTCTTCACAATGAGCTTGTGATGATGTGACCTCCTTACATCGTCATCCCAACTTTTTATCACCCTTTCTCTGGTTCCTGGCCACTTGTTTTCAAATTTTGAATCGTTCTTTAATTCCTTTGCCTCGCCATTCTCTTTTTATTTCGTTCCGTCGTCACTCCCTGCTCAATCGCGGTAGCGAGCAGCTCACCTGTAATACTAAAATGCGTCTAATTTTGATCCTTTTACCAGTTCTCAAAGTTAATACCAATTTGTAATTCTGTATAACTCGGCCCTTTTGGGGTAAGTGTCTACTTTATATTCATCCATAAGCATATCCGAATGTAATTAAGTTAGGGAGTGTTTTATAGTAAAGTACCTTTGTTCTTACATACCTTTTCTTGTTACAGCCCTTCGTTTATTTTCTTTCAATCTATCGAATATTTTTTGACACGATCCTGGTCACGACCCATTAGAGATTTACAACTTTTTCAAGCTCTACTTCTACTAAAATTTAATTATGTAATTTTGGTTTAGGATGCATCGCCTACGAGGATGAAAGCAGCTCATTATTATCATATGCCTCCACCAGTCGAGACAATTTTCAACCTTATAAAAACATTCCTTAATGAAAAAAACAGGAATCGAGTAAGACATTTATATGGTGTTACTTTTTATTGATGTTTATTTATTTTTTACACAGAGTGAACTTAATAGGGAGATCAAAAATATACGAAACAGCAGATTATTATAAGCATCCTTCATACATCTCACATAACTTATAAAGTCAACTTGTATGAATGACTTCAAATGTATACTAAATATTTCTATTATTATTTGGCGGTACTATTGTTTTATAGTCACTGTCAATGTCAGATAATAATTGTTACATCTTATTTTCTAGTTGCATGTTCATGGGAAAGATTTCAAGCCACTGTACAAATATGTGTCTAAAGATATCCTGCCTGTGGAGTACGGAGGAAATGGAGGCACTATAGAAGAAATAGTCGGTAAATAAATCTTAAATTAATAATATATTAATAATACTTATTTATTTGCACTCACAAAAGCAGGTTATGAGGTAATTAAATCGATGCGACATAATATAATTTTGTAATATCAAACTACTTTTGTGAGTGACTGGCGCCCGTTATAGGTTAGCAGCAGTAAAGCTCCTTATGAAAGAGTTCATCTAGGGAAGTACTGTCATGTACCCTGGGAGTCAAAAACGGGAGCTTTTGTCACCCATTAGGTAAGGGTTCACGGGTTGGTTGGTGTGCCAAGTATTCCCGGCATGCCACTAACGATGGAGGGGGAATGGTGATCCTCCAGGGGTGAGTTCGCGGTGGCGGACAACCGCAGACGGGGTTCCGGTTTAGAAGGGTAAGGGTGCTGGTGAAATTACAGGCACATGGGACTTGTCAACTTATGTCTTAGGGTGACGGGGGCAGTGGCCGTGCCCCTCTGATCTTTACGATTTAAAGCTCTGAATGATACTGCATCTGTTGTGGACAGGTGTACAGCTTACCATCAGGCGTACGACTTGTTCGTCACGTCACTTGATATTATAAAAAAAAGGTTTGAAAATTCTGTGTTACAGGTCACTGGACCTGGACCTGGACCTTTGGAACAAGAAAAACTGTTTTTGCTTTTGTGATTAGCTCAATTTAAAAAATTAAAAATCATTATATGTGTATTTTTATATATATGTATTATTTTTGTGTATTTATGTGGGAGATGAATATTAGAAAAATAAATATTACACAACATCACATACGTTGCTCTGATCCTAAAGTAAGTAGCTAAAGCACTTGTGTTATGGAAATCAGAAACAACGACGGTACCACAAACAGCCAGACCCGAGACAATATGGAAAAGTTCGTTTTTATACTGACCTGGCCTGGGATTGAATCCGGGACCTCAGAGATGGCGACATCATGAAAAAATGAATGTGTAAGATGTAAGAGTAAGATGTAGATATAAGTGATGTTTGATAATGATATGAGAGTGTAATGATTGTGTAACCTAGAGTGTAGGTAGTTTACGAGGGAGGTGTAATAAGTTCCTCAGTGGAATTGTAAGATTGTGTTAGTAACCATGGAGAGACCCTTTGCTTGTAAGATTTTTTCTTGAGGGAAATATTGTTAAGCAGGTATTTAACTTATTATAAAGGTTATTTCCCAGGAAACAGAAATGTCTGTGAGAAAAACTAGTGTGAAATGTATTGTAAGGGCATACAGTTCCTTTTCTTCGTCTTGTAGCCAAGATTGAAGGATCGTAGGGAATTTAAGAGTGTTTTCTGAGTATCACTGTAAGAATAAAGAGCTGACGTACCGTAAGAATCTTCGAAATTATAAAGAAGATCGGTTTCAAAATGAAAATTTAAGAAAGCCAATTTAAATGACCACAAATTCACATTCTTTATGGTTTTCCAATTATTGCTGAAGCATGACCTTTTTCAGACTACTGGGTAAAGAAAATAGAAGAATACAGCAAATGGCTGGATGAAGAAGAAAGATACGGCACAGATGAGTCTAAGAGGCCAGGAAAGCCGAAAACAAGTGAAGACATGTTTGGCGTTGAAGGATCTTTCCGACAACTCCAGATGGATTAACTAATAACGCCAACTTGGTTTTTATATACACGTAAAAAAAAATTAAGCAATAGTTTAGTAGTTTCTCTGTGTAGTAAAAAACTGACGTAATTTTTATCATTTATACATAATATGTGTGTTGTTTTCGATATTATTAAATACATTTGTTCGATGATTTATATTTTCATAACATTTTTTTTGCGGCTCACTGGAAAAAGTATTTTTATGAATAAAATAGTGTTGCAAGGAATAGTGCACAGGTATTCGGCTGGAAGCGTAGCCAAATAGCCGAATATTAGGCAACCTTTTCGGACTGACTAATACACGTATGAAAATTGGCACGAAAAGTACTACTATTAACTCCAGTTACGATAATTTTGTACAATGCAACAAAAAAGTTACTTTTATTTTCAAGTTTATAATTTAAAAGTATGACATAAAGAAGAAAGTAATTGTTTATTTAACTTTCGTTTGACAACTTTCGAAAACTTAATTTTATTTTGGTTTGGATATATACTTGGTAGATTTTGTTAGCGTTTATTTAGTTATGTACCTTACATAACAAGTATGTAGTTTTAATTTTTTTATCTTTATTGATCTCTTAAATAATAACTTAGTTGTGTTACTTATTACTTATATACTTACAGTGCACGTTCCTCATTAATAAAAGTTACATGCTAATTTACTGTGTTTTTTTCCTCCTATTGTTAGGTACTCGATATTAGGCTAAATAGTGATTCAGTATTGGGCCGAACACCAAAAAAAATATAGGCCGAATCTGCCGATTGCCAAATAGCAACCAGTAGTAACCGAATATTCGTTGCTACTCTATTTTCTATATATGTATATATGTATATATATGTAGTTTTGTTTTCCACTATATAACTTTGTGAACTACTTATGTAAATAATAATATTATAAGTTCTATCCTACATTTTCGTATTTTGTAAAACGATCACTTGGATTAAAACGACGATAAAATTATCAACAGATAACGTGATATCAAACTGAACAAACGACACTCTAGGTATTAATATTGATTATTGTATTTCAAACTACTGTGACACAGGGCAGGCATTGCCATATTTAACGAAACATTTTAGTTGAAAAATTATCTGTAGGCATTTAAATAATCTGTTAATAGTTATATTATTAATTAATGAATTGTATAAATTACATACATTTATTACCTGTAAAATGGTTATTAATTAACAGTTAAACTTTTATGATAATTTGTTGTTTTAAGATGCATCATGTCTGTTGCCGTTCGACCTCTTCCCCCAGAACTAGTAGAGAAGGCGAAAGCAGACCTTTTTGAAGATGCTAATAAACTTCAAGACAGCATACAGCATCTCAAGGATTGGATTGCTAAACAACCCCATTTGAAAGCTAGAACAGGTAATTTGATCTCATGTCTTATAATCATACCCGTCTAAAAACAAATATTACCTACAGGTAATCTATACTTTATTTATGATTTTAAGCGATGGGACGAACAGTGCCACTCAGAGTTTTAAATAACAAAGATCTAAGGGGCACTGCCACTGCACTCGTTACCCTGAGATATAAGATGATAAGTTCCATGTGCCTGTAATTTCATCAGCACCCTTACCCTTCAGAACCGGAACGCAGTAATGCTCACATTACGGCTTGGCGGCGGAAATAGGTAAGGTGGTAGTACTTCCCTGGACAAACTATTTGACATGGAGGTCTACTGGTGCTAAATTCTTTGTGTCATGGCGAAAAAGATAATGTATTTATTTAATATTTTTGTACTCTTGGTATAATAAAGCCACATGTGGTCAAAAGTGATTTTGCCATATGAAACCCTCTTTCCTGAAAAGTTGTCATTTTCCAGATGTGTCCTTATTATACCAAGAGTGCGTTTTATATGAAGTCATTTCAGTCATTTTACCTTTTTTTTCCTCTCGATGTCCTACCCTCCGGTGAAACCAGGGTTTCATCGGCGTAACACACCAGGGAGCCTACCACAACCTCTTAAAACAATATTACTTTAACCTTACATTAACTTTTCGTGCCATAACGCGCTTAAAGTAAGCTTATTATAATGTTAAAACTAGGATGTTTTATTTATTTTTCAATTTTTTAACGCACACACTCTACATAGCCCCGTACTAGGGGCCCTGAACCCCTGTGTTGCGGGTGCCATGGACACACACATAGACAACCACAAATTACACCCAAACTCACGAGATAAATAAATGTAGGCCATACAAATATTTCTCCCGGCCCGGGAATCGAACTGGGACCTCCGTGTGACAGTGATGGTAAACGTTCAGCCACTGAGGCAGTTAATCACGGTAAAAACAGATTACTTAGAAAAAGACAAAATTCTTTTTATGAAGACAAATTTATTAAATCCAACAAAACGATCCTCTCCCTATAGACGCTAGAGAATAATTACTTGATAATAGTAAAAAAAGTCTCAAAAGTGTATTTTAGTTATAAGACACAAATAATTAATCCAAGAGCAAATGAATTTACTTCAAGTCACAAAGCTGCTCTAGATTCAACAAAATATTTATTAGTTATTAGAAATGTCCGATTTTGACTTGAAAAACAGAATGAAAAATTGAGAGGCACTTAATTATTTGACTGAAGATTTATGTTTTCTAATATCAAATAGCGTAAATTTACAGGGTTATGGACCCAACAGTATGTCTTAATAGCGTGAAAGCACACAGTTCAGTGCCAAACCTTAAAGTAGCAGAAATAGGACGGAATCTTCTTACAACTAATGCCATCTAGCAGTGGCGTGATGGAACTAATTGCATGTTAGAGTTGTGCTTTGCTGAAACCAAATTTCTTAAATTATGACTACAAATAACACACTAACAAACTAGAGATACTACGTATTGTTTCTTTGGATAAATGACTGTTTATGATTTTTATGATTACAAGCACAAGTAAAAGTAATCATCACCGCTTGCGCCTTCTGCGACATGTCAAGACAACATTGACTATGAAAACGCAACAAAATGTAGCTTTAAAAATAAACTCTAGAATTTAGAATATTAATCTGAATAGCAAACCACTTTTTTTTGTTTAAGAATATATTTTATTTAAATCCACCAAATAAATTTTGAATCCGTTTAAGATAATTTAAATTTGATTTAAGAGGTAAAAATTTCTTGATGTAAGTAATGTCCAATTAATTGATTAGAAATGAAATAAAATCTCGAAGTAAAGGTGTTTGTCTAAAAGTTAGAATAAAGTTAAGAGTAAAATTGTATTAGAAAAAGATAAGCAGTATTTTTGTAGTGACAATATTTTATAACTTTTAATAAATATTTTTTTCAGAATTAGCAAATATTTTGAGAAATTGCTATTTCTTGTTAGTAGAATTATTTTATTTCTGTGTGTGTATTCATTCACTCAGTTTAAAATTACGTTTTCAATAATTATTCCACATTTTCATGAAGAAAAATAAACAAATCAAGCTGAGTCTCGATAGTCACGTTGTGAATTCGGAATGTATATTTCGTCGCTTCATTCTCGATATAATATTTAACCAGGTAGTTTCCTTGAGGGCGCGTTCCCACTATGGCGTGACGACAGATTGTCGTGCAGTTTACAGTGTCGTGGCTTGAATATTTAAATGAAGTTGTTCACATATAGCACGACACGATTAACCGGTTTTTTATCGTTACAACGACAAACGTCGTCACATTGGGAACAGTGAGAACGACAGTCGTCAGACGATAAAAAAACGTCACGATAAAAACGTGACGACAGATTGTCGCAGCTCCTATTGTCGTCACGTTTTAATTATCGCTGTCCGCACGTATTCTGCTCCCTGCCCTCCCCTCTTGTACCCCGCGCCCTGTGCTCGCTTTGCAGTAGCGTTGGGTCGTAGCCAGAGATGGGCAAGGAGGCTGTCGTGAAACGGTAAATTGTCGTCACGATCTAGTGGGAACAGCTAGTCACGACAGTCGTTCAACGATAAAAAATCGTCCACGACAGACACTCGTGATATGGGAACAGGCTAGACACAACAGTCGTCTAACGATAATAAAACGTGAGGACATAGTGCGCCCTAACTTGCTAAACAACATTGCACGGTTTTTAGAGAAAAAAAAATGTTTTGACGTTGACACTCCCTACCCAGGCATCAACCGCCATTTTCTATCGTTATTCCTTTTTCGTGCGTGGCAACAAGCACACCTCCACAACTCCGTCAAAATGTCAAAGCGAACAAACTTAGAAAAAATCGAATATTATAAAAGTAAACTGAAATACTTGGAAAATACAGATGCCAAACGTCGTCGGCGTTATAGGATTATAATATCATCGGACGAGTCGAAAATTGATCAAGGTAAGAATTTTTTCTTACGCTCATAAATAATGAAAATAAAAAATGAAAATATTCATTTTTATCATATAGCATACTTGCTACTTCTGAAATTATAATAAATGTTGGCTTTCATACATCGCAAATGCGAATCTAACCTACATTTAATAAAACATCGGGTTAACTGCGAGTTATCCTCGATAACCAAATCGAACATGGGTGGATGAAAATCAGAACAGATATATTAATATCTGCATTTTATATGATTTATAATAAAAGTGCCTCGGAGTTAACCGCGAGTTAAACACGATAATGAAATCGACTGCGAGTTGATTTTAATTTGAACAATATTAGTTGTTACATGCTAATAAGCAAAGAATTTTTTAAATAAAATTTTGTCGGGTTTAACTGCGAGTTAACCACGATAATGAAATCGACTGTGACTCGATTTTAATTTGAACAGTATTAGTTCTTACATGCTAATAAGCAAAGAATTTTTTAAATAAAATTACGTCGGGGCTAACCGTGAGTTAACCGCGATAATGAAATCGACCACGAGCGGATTTTAATAATTATATTATTCTAAGAAAAGTATATTTAAAATAAAGTTAAGTTGGGGTGAGTAACTGCTATAAGAAATCAACTGCGAGTTATTGCAATTTAAATCCCACATACGTGTAATTAATAAGAGTTAACGAAACACGCCGTAGTTAAAACTCAATTACCTATTTAATACAATTCTAAAGAAGATCGTTGATGGTTTTAGGCGACAGCCTCCTGCAAAACCAATATGCAGCTTCGCCAGCAATACCATTATGTAAACAGGTACCAACACCAGTCTGTAATACCCGGCATTAGTTTATCGCTAGACGACAATAGAAAAAATTGCATATCACAATTAAAAACTTAATTGACTTGGGAGCAATGACAAAGTGCTGTCCTAGAAATTATCAATACATTTCTAGTACTTTTTTAAGCCCCAAAACGCAACGGTAGTAGTCGTTTCATATTGAACGTAATGTTCTTTAACAAATTTGTAACAAAAATTCATTTTAAAATGGAGGACTATCGAATTGCTTCAAAATTGATACCACGCATTGAAAGAGGTGTATTCATTGACATCTATCTGCGAAGCAGACCGAAAGTACCACAGATTTCAGTACTTACCTTGTGGTTCGAATGAAATTGAAACCTACGAATTTACTGCTCTGATATACGGCTTGTCCACAGCAGCACCGAAAGTGTTTACCAAAATCATGACAGAAGTTGTAACACATTTTGAGACAACAAGGATTTAAGTTCGTGGTATATTTAGATGATATTTATTTGTTGTATTTCAGCTGATTATTGCGATGATCAATAATGTTAATGCAACCATTAACTTATTGCAATGATTAGGCTTCGTCGTTAATTACGGCAAGTCTGTGTTACAACCATGTCAAGTTTGTAAATTTCTAAGATTCAATTTTGATTCATGAAATTTAAGTATAAGTTTACCTTTAGAAAAACATCAAAAAATTTAACACTTACTTTAAAGAATAATGAGATTACCCCGATGTACCATACGGGAGTACACTCAATTGATTGGTGTCCTCATCTCAGCTTGCCCAGCCACTAAATACGGTTGGTTATATACAGAATTACTGGAAATTCAGAAATTTCTAAGTCTTCAAAAACATGACGGTAACTATGAAACAACAATTTATCTTCCAGATATAATTCTAAGTGATTTGAGTTGGTGGACAGAACCTCAAGTTTTAAATTAGAATTTATACAGATGCACCGCGCACCGGTTGGGATGCCGTATGTGGCGCGAGTAGCCCTCAGTTGGCCTCCTGGGCCAACGGAGGGCTGTTGAGAAGAAGCACTGTATCAATTACTAAGAATTACAGTCTTCTTATATTATATTAGTATAATCTAATTGTGTTATATTGCTGCGAATACGCAATACTACGGTGATCAGTTGCATAAATCGCAAGGGTGGGATCCAATACCCCACCTTAACGATTTAAGTAAACCAATTTGGCAATGGTGCGAAAAGTGCAACATAATTTTGTATGCATATGTGCATATTATGTAAATACAAAAGATAATCTAGGAAGTCTAATCCCGACACCGAGCGGGAGTTGTCTTCTCGCGCCTTCCAGACCATTGTCAGACGTTTCGAACAACCCCAGATCGATCTTTTTGCATCCCGCACCAATGCCAAATCCGCTATTTTTGTCTCTCGGTTTCAGGAACTAGATGCATTTGCCGTAGATGCCTTTACACTTAATCGGAATTCATATTTTTTTTCTACGCATTCCCACCCTTCTTTTTATTATCGAAATGCATACACAAAATTATTGATGACCAAGCAAATGGTACTCTTGGTTTTCCACATTGGCCTTCCCAGACACGGTTCCTCCTGCTGCAAAACCTGTCGGTTTCCGACTTGATATATTTTAACTCAAGCGAATCATTATTAAATCTTATGGCAGGCGGCCTCATCTACTGCACGCCAGCCTTACCCTTTCTGCCGTTATCAGCGCGCCCTTCGCCTCCTGCGAAGTCCCACAAGAGGCGAAGACTTTACCCTTAGCTTCTCTTTCTTAAAATACAATTAGACAACATAATGTGTCCCTAAAGCTCTGGTGGGCACTTTGCAATAATAACAGTCTGCTTTATCTCTTTTATAGTCTGTAACAGGCTCAGACGCCCGCATAAAAAGATTACTTAAGGGCGCATTTAGATTGAAACCCACCTAAGTATAGCAATACTTGGAGTCCCCAAGTCGCTCTCGCATTAGTTTCAACGTGGTTTCCCAACACAGAACTTCCTCTTGAAAAACTTACGAAAAAACATGTTGTTTTACTTGCAGTTTCTTGTTTCACTGCACACCGCGTACAAACAGGCATTGATTAAAATAAAAACATACAAATATCAGATATTCCGGTTAAAATTGCAATACCTGATTTAATCAAAACGACTGCGCCTGGTCGCGTACAGCCCATATTAAATTTTCTATATTTTAGAGAGGATATAAGTATTTGCCTTGTCGCAGTTGTCAAACATTATATTTTGGTAACACAAAATAAGACAACTGGACGTCAGGGAACGCTCCCCACAGAGTAGCCACGAGTCAGACCGTGAGCCGATGTGTACGGCAGGTGTTGGATGCGCCGCGGCCTGTGTGGACACAGCAGTTTTCGGCGCGCATAGCACGCGGTACGCCTCCACGCCAGACGCGCGCGCGTCTGAGGTGCCGATAGAGCTCATACGCAAGACTGCGAGTTGGACTCCGACATCTCACATCCTTTACTAGATTTTATAATAGACTAATACTTACTGAAGACGAACACACGTTCCCAAGAACCATTTGCTTACAACATAATGAAACGGAAAATTATTATTCTAAATTAATAATAATAATAATAATAAACTTTATTTATAAAATTATTATATGATTGTACGGTTTAAAAATTGTTATGATTGTGATCTCAGGAGAAAAACCGTCATATGTTCATATCTATATATATCTTTAATAAAAATGTAATATAGATATGATTATCGATTTTTTATTTTATCTTATCGATTAAGCCTCTGGTTTTTAATTTACATAAAATCAACTGGAAGCAAAACTGAATACTCTAAAACTCTACCTGGTTAAATGTTATATCAAGAATGAAGTGACGAAATACAATAGATGATCAAAAGAACTTCTTGAAGTGAAGTTCGATCAGTATTATGTGAGTCGCTTCATTCGAAGATATAATCAACACCCTCCTTCCCTTGACATCGTTATATCAGAAGTAAAGATTCTGAAACTCCCAAATAAGTTTTGCTTCCCACTCTAAAAGGAATGAGGATAGAAATTGGCGGTTGATGCCTGGTAGGGAGTGCCAACGTCAAAACATTTTTTTTTCTCTAAAAACCGTGCGGTGTTGCCTAGCAAGGTATGGAAACTACCTGGTTAAATATTATATCTTCGAATGAAGCGACTCACATAATAGTGATCGAACTTCACTTCAAGAAGTTCGTTTGATCATCCATTATAGTCTAGTGTCAACTGTTAGTTTCGTCAAGGTGCATATAAATGGCGCTGTCATAATTTTACGAAATAAACATCGCGTATTTTTATTTAACGAGAAAATATTTCCTATGTGCTATTAAATAAAAAATAAACAAAATTTGAAGAGATATATGTAAATAAATAAGTTCAACTTAACTTTTAATCATTACAAATCGATATTAAGATAATAAAACTGAAAATTATATAGTTTCCATTGCATCCGTGTAACTATTTAAGATTGTTAAATTTGACATAAGAGCAATATTACTTTAATGTTAAAGTCGCGTCATAGTAGGAACTGAGTGAATGAATAGTCACAAAGCAGCTAATAAAACATCGTAGTTTTAACTTTACAATAAGCTTACTTTAAGCGCGTTATGGTACGAAAATTCATTGTAAGGTTAAAGTAATATTGTTTTAAGAGATTGTGGTAGGCCCCCAGCACTGCATCGTATGCGAGGTTCCAAAGAAGTGGTCCTAGGACAGACTCTTGCGGAATCCCACACATGACCTCTCTGCGATAGCTTGTGCCATCCGGACCAAGTGATTCTGACCATAGTATATTAAGACCAAGTAAGGCAATTTCCGCCTGTTTGGCGCATTAATGCTTACACTCCATTCGGAGCGTAGGGTTGTCACATTATTATTTTAGATGTAGTACCTACAGGCTGGAAACATGATATGAAAAAAAAAACCAGGACTTTTTTAAGATACCAAGTGATGGGATGAACAAACAAGTCGTGCGCCTGTTGGTAGGCGGCACGCCATAACAGTTGCAGTGTCACTCAGAGCTTGAAATCCTTTGGGATTATAAGATCTTTAAGATCTTTCCATAAGATCTTTGGATCTTACGGGCATTGCCACTGCGCCCGTCACCCTGAGACATAAGTTGACACGTCCCATTGCCTGTAATTTCAACAGCATTCCTTTATTAATTTGATATTGCCTTGTTTTTGCAGATGATCAATGGCTTGCAGCATTTCTACGAGGATGCAAATTCAGTTTGGAACGAACGAAAGAGAAGCTTGATCTCTATTATTCATTAAAAGTATTTACATCTGAACTCAACACACTCAATCATAGAGATTCTAAATTTATGGAAATTCTTAAATTAGGGTATGTTTACAATATTTAAAAGAAAATCAGCCAATTTATTTCGACTTTGGTGGCGTAATTATGGTTTCACGGTTTCATGAAAATAATGGTCTGGTACTTTTTGAATATGTGCATTTTTTGTATTGATAAAGATACGCTGAGGCTTCTGGCACGCCTTTTCACATATCCAAGGCTTTTGACAGAGCCTGGCACCTAATAAGCAACCTTTGCCTCAAATCAAGGCAACCTTTGCCTTATACGAAATTCCTGTATGCCATTTCTTTTCATTTCAGATTTCAGATTTAATGACATTCTATCTTTTCTCAGTTGCGGAAACTAGCAATGATATAAGATCTCACCCTAGGTTTGTTGATTACCACTTTTAGCCCCGTATCGGATTGTTTCTGTCATTTTATGTCGTTACTAAAAGATACCAAAGTCTAAAAGATTAGAGTAAAAAAGAGAATTTATTTTGTAATTCTTTACTATACGTAACAAAGTTTTTTGACTTAACAACTGAATCACCTATTGTAGGTAACTGTAAAAAATGCCATTTATTTATTTATTTGCAAAATAATAAATTAATTAAATTAAAATAAGAAAAAATCTGACTAGGATCCACTTAAAACTTATTTTCGTGTGTCGTCTTAACAAATTAGAAAAAACAATGACTATATTAAAATGAAAAGATAAAAGAGTTTGTAATTTGGAAAAAGCTGTTTTTAATTTTAAATAATAAGCATGTAAATAAATTTTTATTTCATTTATTTAATTAAATATTTCTATTTTTATTATTAATTTTTATCAACTAGCCGTAAAATATTTATTTTTTGTTTGTTTTTTGTAATAGAATAACTGTAGTCTTGCCAAAGACAGAAAAAATAACCGATCCTAGAGTTATCTTGATTAGAAGTGGAATGTATTCTCCTGGACAATACACCATCGGAGAAATTTTATCAATTGCCAATGTCATACAAAAGGTATTTGTTTTTTATTTGCTTGTCATTACAAAATTGAAAATATTTATAGTTCGATGTAGTGTTTATTTTTATAACTTATTATGTACAATGCTGAGAATAAGTCATGCCAAAGCTTTATTTAATTATCTGTCAATAGCGTGCTTCTTTCATATGGTTTTTAATGCTACTTCAATAAAAGATTGGTACATTATCTGAACTGATTTCAGATAATGTACCTTGAAGATGATCAGCTTATGGTAAACGGTGGTATATCCATTATGGACTTAAAGGGCACGAGTATGGCGCATTTTACTCAGTTTACACCTACGATAATGAAGAAAATGGTTGTCGCTGGCCAAGTAAGAAAATTTAGTAAAATTAAGAAGTAGAATTATTTTAAAGGATTTTTTTTTTATAATATCAAGTGACGGGACGAACAAGTCGTGCGTCTGATGGTAAGCTACACGCCAGTCCATAACAGTAGCAGTGTTACTCAGAGTTTTAAATCGCAAAGATCTGACGGGCTCTGCCATTACGCCCATCACTCTGAGACATAATTTGACAAGTCCCATGTGTCCGTAATTTCACCAGCACAAGGATAGGGATACTTCAAAACCGTAACGCAGTAATACTGACATTACTGCTTGGCGGCAGAAACAGATAAGGTAACTCCTTTCACAAGGAGCTCTACTGCTATTAATAATATTTGATTCGTCGAAACGGAAAGCATTACGTCATGAAATTTTAATATTAATGCAATTTTTTTTTATGATACCAAATGACGGGACGAACAAGTCGTGCGCCTGGTGGTAAACGACGTGCCTGTCCTCAACAGTTGCAGTGCCATTCAGAGCTTTAAATCGCAAAACACTACCACTGCGCCCGTCACCTTGAGATATAAGTTGACTAGTCCTATGTGCCTGTAATTTCACCATTCATATCATTTTAGGATGCAGCACCTGTTAGGATGAAAGCAGCTCATTATATTAATATGCCTTCTGGTTTTGAGACTTTATTCAATGTTGGTAAAACTTTTATGAACGAGAAAAATAGGAACAGAGTAAGTGATCGATTACATTATACGGTGTGCCTTAATATGATAACCATTTAATTGTGTTAAATATTAATTCATAACAATGTAAATGTTGGTTATACCTAGTTGCACGTTCACGGCAGAGATTACGAATCACTCTACAAATTTGTGTCTAAAGACATTCTACCAGCTGAATATGGAGGTAATGGTGGTACTATTGAAGAAATAACAGGTAAATTAAAATAGCATTTATTTTATATGTCGGAGTATATTTCTCAGAGAGCGGCGGCCGGTTTTCTTTACTTTTCAAGTCCGCACACAAAAAAGCCCCTCCTATCACTTTTATATTCAATTTTTATTTTCATATGGCAACTCCGCCAACGACCGTCATGTCATAAGATCGCGACAGATGATAATCCATCGAGTATGTAACCAGAAATAGACACGTAATGTTATTTAATTTGTTTGAAAACTATTCTGCCACATCATTACTGTGACAACTGCGCTCCGATTGGCCAGCCCGAATTCGAAACAATTGACGGGTGTCGTCAATTGTTTCAATTCAAATCGACCAGTTAATTTGAGCTTTGCTATAATGGACGTAAATTGCAAAATTAAATATTTAAAATTTAATTACCGATTAAATTTGATTCCGTTTGTTATGTAATTAGATGTTTTGCTGTTTTTCCCCACACCACCGAATGAAACAGCATGCCATTGTTAGAGAAATATCTATATTACAATAAATACAGAATAAATTTGGATTATACGGAGACGTACACGTAGGTCAGATGTTGGCACTGTCTATATTTCAGTGCAAACGAGAGTTGATTTTTATAAGTGATGTATCACTGATGAGTGACTAGGAATGTATGGCCCTTATTTCGTATCTATTTCTGGTTATATACTCGATGTACTGAACAGATTTAAACGACATTAGCGGCACCCTCTCTGCGGCCTTGCTTTATTTTTTTTTCCATCCTCTAAGCTGCGGCCTCGCTCAGTTTGAGTTGTCCAACTGACGTGACATTTGTGAACTAAGAAACCATGATCGAAACTAGTTAATATGATTCGTAGGAATCTAGTAAACCGTTTATCTAATAATTAAAAAACAACCCGTATTAATATTAGCTACGATTTATTTGTTCATAAAACACATTCCTTAAACAGTAAACGATTTTTATTACATTTTGTATTCACTGATTTAAACTTTCACAATTTTTACACATTATTTTATTTTAAAATCGGGACTTCTATTCTATTTTTAAGTTTCCCTTGAAGAATTTTGCCAATTGAATAAAAATTGTTTATTCAGTAACATAATGTACAGAGAAAACTAAAGACTACTTATGCGATTTAATGTAAAAATAACACATGTACCTGAACTAGGAAATTCCTGTATTTCAGGTAAAAAGTACTACTAATTATAAATGTGGATACTATTAATATTATAAATACTTTTTAGGAGAATCTTATGAAATAAAATTAAACAATTAAATAATAAATTGCCAATAAAAAAATAAAAAAATAAATAAAAAATGTACACGACAACATTTAATTTACGATAATAAATAAATTCTCTGTATCCTCATAGGACATATTTTGAAGAGCTTCTTGGAGAATTTTCTTTACCTTAAAGCAACAGAAATTATAAATGGAATATTTAGCGTTTAATTTATTGTACAAAAATGGTCCAAGAAACACAAAAAATCTTGAAATAAAAGTATGTTTTGATGATATAATTTTGGGGCAGACAATATCTTTTCGTCTTTTACTAGTGTTTTCAGTAATATATGGGAGCAATACGTGCTGTTTGAGGACTGTGGACTTAATGAATAATTGCCTTACAGTTAATACTTTACATGACTTATACAGAAGGTCAGTGGGGTAACGGAAAGGGCGGTAGGTAGAAACCTTTAGGACAGCTCGCTGGGCTCTTTCAATGATTAGTAAAGTAGTTTTAGCTATACCACCCCATGATATAATGCAGTAAGTAATTAATGATTGGCATAATGCATAATAAACTTGCCTGATTATTTTAAAATCAGCAGAAACGCGTAGTTTTTTAAACACAAACATTAACTTACGGAGTCTGGCGCTTAGTGCTTCGATATGGTGTTTAAAGGATAGGATGTCATCTAATATAACACCTAAATACTTTATCTTGTTAGTAATAGCAATGTCTGGACATTTACACAGGTTGTTAGTAGGGTCAAAACAATGGTGAGCATATAGTTTAGGGTTAGATATAAATGACTTTGATTTCCGCATATGGAATTGCATAAAACAAGTTTTATCCGTATTTAGTGTTAGCAAATGATGTTGGAGCCAGTTATTTACTATATTGAATCCACGCTGTGCATAGTCGTATACCTCCTTGTCAGAGTTTGCAGAAAAGAGTAGAACAGTATCAGCATAGGATATGATCTTTCCACCTTGTAAATCTAGGTTACAAAGGTCATTAATGTAAATCAGAAAAAGTGTTGGTCCTAAAATACTTCCTTGAGGAATTCCAAATGAAGTGCACTTCAGATCAGAACTGTGAATGTCACCTATTTTAACACATTGGGATCGGTCCTCCAGGTAGTTTTCGAGTAATTTAAGCTGTATGCCCCTTATACCAAGCGATTCAAGCTTCTGTAACAGCACAGGGATGTAAACTGTATCAAAAGCCTTCGCTAGGTCTAGAAAAATACCCACAGTTTTGTTACCCTTGTCTAGTTCCCTTGCTACAAAATTCGTAAGGTGATGCACGGCGTCAGATGTCGATAATTTAGATCTAAAACCGAACTGTGTTTTAGATAATATATTATTATTAGATAATTGCAAGTCAATAGTTGCCAATATTATTACTTTTTTAAATGTTTAATTAATACTATTCTTTTTCTATTCCGGCTTCTGGAACAATACAAAACAACACGATATACCATCATCGTTACAGATATTTAAGTAAATAAGTTTTATAATTTAAGTTTGTTAGTACTAATAAAATCAGTTATTAATTCTAAAAGAGGATTTGTAAAAACATGGTAAAAACCGGTAATAGAAACTTGAAATTTACAGAGCGAGGAATAGGAGGTGGAAGACTCATAAATGTTCTCGGGTGCATTAATCTTGGCCACATTTACAAATTGAGCTATCCCGTATTCTAAATTTTGCCAAATTTGGGACTTAATCTTGTATAAAATCATCATTTACCTCGATGTTTCGGACATATTGCAATGCCATGGTCACGTCCCGAAAATAAAATCAAATATAAATTCAACTTTGTACTCTTCTTTGACTTGAATTTAGTAATCTCTTGATATTTTGTAACATAGTTCTTTTTCCAGACTACTGGGCAACGAAAATAGAAGAATATAGACACTGGTTGGATGAAGAAGAGAAGTACGGTACAGATGAGTCTAAGAGACCCGGAAAACCAAAAACATCAGAAGACTTGTTCGGAGTTGAAGGATCTTTTAGGAAACTAGACTTTGATTGAAGAAGGAAACTGCTTTTAAAAGGGCAGAGAGACAAGTAAATTCTATTAAGTACATTGCACATTGCATTTTGGAGTTCGTATGCACTGTATTATTAGTTTTAATAAAATTTTGTATATTTGTTAATGTAATTATTTTTGATTATTAATACAAAACATCTACATTTATAACATTTACATTTATTATGGCAAATTTACTTTATATGGTGTGACCAAAGGGTCTGTGCGCTAGCGATGCGCGACTTGGAATGTTACTAATACTAATCATTCGAATGGGCAAATCATTCGGATAAGTCGAATCCAAGCACAATCATTCGACTCGAGTAGAATAATTTATCAATACCGAATGCCTTATAGTCAGTTGGGTGCACGAGTCGAATGATTATTATATCGGAACACCTAATTCATCATGTCCATATCAGAAAATATCCCAGTCCCCGTCACATTTACAGTGTTTACCATATGTCAGAGAGGGCTAGATGATTACGAGCAGTAATGCTCTATGGAATCTATGGATTAATACTACTAATTAGTAATGAATGATCATTGAAATCATTCGAATACGAAAATTAGTTGGTTACTAATTTGACATTCGAATGACAGGATTAGCGATTACTAATGTGTCGAATATTGAAATCATTACAATCGCGCATCGCTAGTGTGCGCGAGCCCACATATTTTATGTGTGATTTCTATGAAAAAGAAATATTCACTACATCATTAGTTTATTTTTATAATAATTCGCTCTGTATCTTCTCCCGATTCTTGTGCATGAAAATAAATATTGTTGACGGTTCTACATTTCTTATCTATATAAATTTATAAGACTTGTTTTCAAGTAAACGAAATATCGTTAATTTGGTGACATGTGTTTTCTAAAATATTTGAGTTTAAACAAAGAAGATAAGAACAATATCGCATAGATGTTGTTAAACTTGTTTTGGGTTATACATATTTGTTGGACATTTAAGTCAATTATTGGTAGTAGTATTTTTACGCTTCCATCGTATTATAAGTTCTATTTTGTATAATCTATTAAGAATAGAACAATTCTACAAAGGTGTCATAAAATTTATAGGAATTATAAACGATAAGTATCTTAACCCGTCTCGCGTCCTAGAAAGACGCGGTGCTCCTAACGATTGTAATACTTGGTATATACGATGGTAATACTAATGACTATTAAAATCCGAAACTGTCTGTTGCCTTTTTATTTGTTTGTTTGTGTCTACTTTCATTTCGAAACGGAGCGGCCCATTGACATGATTTTTATTTTATTTATTCAATAAAACAAGACAGATATATGAACTACACGGAGAGAAATATCGGGCAGAGGTAGTTTGAGCAATCTCTTAATTAGAATTAGTTGATGTTCACAAGTTGTAGTCGAGAGTCGAGAGCTCAGTTAAGGGTCGTATTCCAGAACTCTACTCGATGCTCAAATCAGGACTTGAGTATGATTTCAAGCACTGGAAATACGACCCTAATGGCAAGGACTTGAGTATGATTTCTAATGGTTCAAATCATACTCAAGTCCTGACTTGAGCATGGAGTAGAGTTCTGGAATACGACCCTAAGAGTCTTTCTAGACGAAATTACAAATCTCCCCCTAAGCCTCTTCACAACGCCCCCTTTAGGCCTGCAGCGCCCACAAGGGGGCGTTATTGTCCACTTTTGGCTGCTCTAAATCGATTGATTGAACGGAATACGCGTTTTCCGTTCAATCAATCAATTAATCGTTTCTAAATATAACAATTTATGTTCAAGTATTTGTTGATTACAAGTAGTCATAACAATAATATAGTAGAAATATACTAAAATTAGATAGTTAAGTCCTTTATTTTACTTGTTTTAAAAAAATGTTGATTACTTAAAAAAAAATTAAGACTAATTTTTAATCGACTTCAAATATTGAAATTATTGTCCTTCCAAAAAATGAGCTTATTATGTAACATCTTTTTGTAATAGAAGATCTTATTGATTAACTTAAATAATTAATATATGAACGTTAATATATGAACTTGCGACTGCCTTAATTAATTTTACTAGATGGTTTTCTGTTGATAATTGATCAAATTGACGAATGCCAAGTCAAATGAATTTGTTACTGCTGCTGCTGCTGCATTATATATTTTTTGTATTACTCGTACTACATACCCGGCGATGTATGTAATTATTTGCTCACTACTTCGAACACGCGAGGCAACGTGCTGCAAAAATTATCGAAATTGTAGATGCCACTGATAATAGATACTACAAAACTGAAAAAAAAAAGAAACGTTATAACAAAAGAGATATATAATATTTTTATAATATTGCTAAGGTCATAATAATTTTCGTCCCTTTGTTTTCAAAATCGATCAGAATCGAGAACAGTGTTGCCTAACGTATATATCACTAAATGTTAAATTTGGCCAAAGAAATGTACAAGCGCCCGTACCACGAAACTGAATGCATTATACAAAAGTTTGTTCGATATTCATGGTGTATTAACAAAGGATCACAAATATATCGCACCAAGCAAAAACCGCAATGTATTACAAAACTCACTCTATTACTCTCGGTTGCATATTTGTTTTCTCGAAATTCACACAAAACCAAAATAATTGTTTTTAAAATAAATTATGCCTCTTCTGATTACACTTGCCCGTGGAAGGAAACGTCTCTCTTTACCAGTTTACCCACAGTTATGGTGCTTTGCAGTTTGTAATGGCACAGTCATGCATTTTTTCGCCGTGATTATCTACGATAACGGTCGAGCGCGTTCTGAAGTGTAGCACCAAGTAAGTGAATTTCACTTACTTTGGGCACGCGAAGTACGTACACTTGTGGCGTCTGTCTAGATAAATGTCTGTGTAGTCACCAAAATGCTGTGTAATTAATTATCATCAGAAATATTGTACAAACAGCTACAATGCGATAAATTCTGTCAATTATTAGTTA